GATCAAAGGACCAAGGTGTGCTCAGATCTGCACCCTATGAGCTTGGTCACGGGTCCTATAGGTGATGCGACAGCCACATTGACCGCCTTGGGTCTTGTGAAGGAGGGAAAAGCCAACATGTGATTTTCTCGTGTCCTGTGAGGATGTGACAATTCGATTGTCCTCTTGGGTCCCACAATGGCAGAACGACACAGTTGACCAACGATCTTGGACCGTGAGAACCGAGGCGTGCTCGKCACGACCCCCGAGGAACCCGTGACCTCCTCAATCACGGGTCTGACTTGGCATCGATCACAGGTCTGACATTGGGAGGAAAATCAAGACAAAAATGTTGCATACTCCCAAGTTGATGGAAATAGATTTGGAAGCATCACCTTGGGAGTAGGGGGCAATTGTTATACACAGACATCAGTAATTAAGTCGACTACAGATCAGAARGGATTGAGGAAGCAACTGACAGAGAATCGAACCTGCTCGGTCTCGACCCTTCCTCGGTGCCGAGCCGGGCTCGGCCCACGGCCAAGCCCGGAGATCGTTTGCCTTTAATCGACATTTCCTCTCAAGCCTTGTCACTACGAGCTAGGGCTCCACTSTAGAAGGTTCTGGAACTATTCCCCCATCTATAAAGTAAGCGATGCAGTCTAACCTTAGGGGGTAGATAACACACTAGAAATTCACCATTTCTCAATCCCCCTTTGCTAACTTAGGCATTGGAGCCTGTGTGACTAAGGTCACATCGATTTAGGTTGATTCGGTTTTGCAGGTTCCAATTCCTTGATCAAAGAGTTAGGTGTGAAGGAGAGGTGAACCGAAAGGTCGAAATCCTCACATCAACAATATATGTTGGAGTTATTACACCAAAATTTCAAAATGATAATGGCATGATATGACTTTTTTAGGCTCTCAATGACATATTTATTCATTTCTATATAAACAAAAGATGAATGTCATAGCAAAATATTAATGTTAGAAGGACATTCAAAATCCATGAAGTTCACCAATTAGGTGTGTATTATGGAGAGTCGCCAAAGTATTTTGAGAGTTCAAAAGATTTGGTCACGTCAAATATTTTCGTTTTTCATGCTTTACTCCTTTGGAGATCATTTCAATATGTCAAAGTAAGGCATAAATTTGACATTTCAGCATGCCAGCTAATCTAAAGTGTTACTTTATGAGTCAAGGTTTCTCAAATGTATTAAAATATACGCAAAAGATTACAAATATATGTATAAGAAAAATAGGTAGTATGTATTATAAGGTAGGTCAAGAAAGATAGTCAATTTGCCCCGTTATAATGTCATGGTATAGGTCAATAGAAAAATAACCAATTTTTCCAATATAGTGTATCGTGAACGTTAAAACAAGGACGTTTTCCAACTCAAAGCTCAAGTCTCCATGGTAAAGAAATTGAGGTGTTAAGTTTGAGAAGGATAATTGGATCAAAGATATTTGATGAGTGGTTAACTGATAGGATATGGTTTTAAGGACAATGAAATGGAGCAACTATGGAGCAACATTCATATCTTCTACCTTTCCTTTTTAGAATTTCTTCTCCATTTCTTCTCTCTCTTTCACAGACGAGATTCTACTTTGTTTAAACATGATATATGAAGATCTCAATCGCAGAGAACTAATACCAAGATCTTAGACTTTAGCAACAAGAAAGCAATTAAGCTCTCTAAGAATTAAATCTAAATTTCACAGGATAGGAGAAAAAGGAAGAAGAAAATCGATTTTACAGGGGTTTGATTCCAGATTGAGTCTACGGGTGTTGTTTTAGAATAAAATGTTATCTTTTTAAAATTTCGAATTTACAAAAGCATAAAAAGATAAGTTTTTATAAACAGAGGAATGAAATCTTTTTAAATAAATTTGGTGGTTATGGTTTGAAAAAGAATCTTAGCAACAAAAAAAAAGTTTTTAGCAATAAAATTTGTTTGGAGTAAATTTGATTTTTTTGTTAAATTATGAAATAAAAGATTTTCTTTTAAAAATCTCTCATACAAAAAAACATTAAAAAAAAGCTGTTTTTTTTAATCAACCAAAATTCGCAATTTTTCTTTCAGTTTTAAAAAATAAATTAAAAGTTTTGTTTTTTTTAAAAAAAAAATTTGCTACCTTAGGTGTTGGTGCAGTGGTATAATGCTATTTGAGACATTTAAAATTAAATACAAAAGTATTTTCTTTTTGACAAATAAAATAATAGAATAATTTCTAATAAAATATGGTACAATTTTTTAAAGGAGTGTTGTAGGGTGCTGACACGTACCCTACGCTCGAGCTCTCGAACCAAAAATCTATTCTTTGCGGATCAAGTTTTTTTAAATAGGTGACCAATCACACCTTATAGATCATTGGTAGCGACTCCAAACCCTTATCTCGAAAGAGACTTTTCGGGAGATAAAGTCGGTCGCTTCGCATCGCGATGGCGTGCGACAGTGTTCATCTTTAATATTTGTTTTATGATAATTTGGGTTGCTATAAATTTGTGCATAAATTATTTTTGCTTAAAAATTTTACTTAGTTAATTGATTTATGCTCAAAATCGAAAAAAATTGGGTAAATTGATGTTCACATTATTCACTCCCTCTAATATTGGCATACCGATCCAACCGGATTTAATTTGTTTTTTTTTTTTTTAAGTCAATAGTGAAAAGATGAGTGAGCAGTTAGTTTATGATGGCCGTAACGGATAAAAATGAAGTTGAAATGGTTTCGTAATTCAAAGATTAAAGACCTAGCCCTTCTACTACAACTTAACATGCAAAATAAAAATTCACAGAGGCAAGTGTGCCTGGCAGGCACCTGAGCAAGTTGTATCAGTTATGCTTCTTAATCAGTTTATGTTTTAAGTTAATTACCATTATTTCTATTAATAATTAAGCCTTCATTTGATTTTTCTATACCGTAACTAAAGGATAAGACCCTGTGTATAGGTTTCTTAACAAATTCTTTATTTCTAAAGTTTCCTTCCCTTAGTTGTTCATTCAGATTTTAAAGATTAATACTCGACATTTTCAGAATCAATTAAATTAATCAATCCCTTAATTGGCCAATCAAGTTTTTAATTTATAAATTCAATCCGAATGAAGGAAATAAACATGTTTTGCAAGACTTACCACCGTGTGTTAAAGAGAAAATTTAAGTTTTCATAGGACTAAAATTAAGAATTTAGTTCATACATGTTGGGATTTTATAAAAACAAACTCATTAAAAACTGAAGTCAAAAGAATTTTTTAAAAATAAATTGGAGATTAACAGTATATGAAATGTCAAGGAACCGACTTGGACTTTATTCTTGCTCTTTCGAGTCTAAAGGGAGTTAGAACTCGTTCAAATCCACAAGAATGTGTTATTCACAAGGATGCTCAGAAGATAAACGAGATCACAGGAAGAAAAGAAGAAAAAATAATACTTCGATTAATGAACATTAATGTTTACAGAATTTACTTTAAACAAAGTAGTTGCTGGAAAATAATTTAAGAAAAATAATGTCTTACAAAAGAATCACGAAACTGCAACTTAAACAACTGAACTAGAACAATTTAAACTTTATTCTTTACTTCTGCTGCTTGATTACTCTGTTACTGGGTTTCCTTTCTCTAATTCAAGGAAAGGAATTTCTCTGCTTCTTAACTTGTTCTTCCTCATTGGGTATGATTTTGGAAGTATCACATATTTTCTTGTCTACTTTCTTGAGTTGAAGAACCAATCAAAAAGTTCATGTCATTCCCAGTGTTTTTTATTTTTATTTTTTTTAGGATGATTCTTGTTCCTCCGGAAATAAAACCAATTTTGTTGCTTAAAAAAAAAAACATTGCTGAATCTTAATACAATATGAAATATTTTTTAAAAACTAATTGTTTATAATAGTAGATAATAATTCTAAAAATAATTCATATATACTTATTACACTTTTTTAAATTCTAAAAATAATTAAAATTAATTACAAAATCAGTAATTTTTCCTACAAATATCCGGTCCCAAAATAAAAATTCTTTAACTTGGTTCTCAATTCTCAAACCGAAGAATGGGGTGAACATGATGGACTAAAAATATTCACCAACAGGAGAATTGATATGACTAGTAGCTATTCATATTTTTTTATTTTTTATTTATTAAAAAGAATAGTAGCTTTTCATATTTTTTATTCTTTATTTGTTTTACTATAACTAACTTCTTTAAAATAGGCAGTGGTTTAATTACGCTATGATCCCTGAGGGCTAGTTGTTTGGGCTGACAGCAATACAATGACGAGCACAAATTTGATAGATTATATTTATTTTAGTCCCTAGTGTTATCAGTAATAATTTTATGTTGTCTTTTTTAGTTTCAATTTAATTCACTTACACTTTTACATTTTTTTCAATTATATTGTTTCCATAGCGAAAGTTAAAATTGTTTATAATAAATTTACATGACATGATATTCACTGAGAGTTCGACAAAAATTTAGATGAGTAATTATGCCTCTTAAGAGAGAATTATTCGACCATTACTCACTAAAAATAGGTGTGAAAATTTCAAATTTCCAAAAATTTAGATTTTCTTTTTCAAGTGGCTTAATTTCTCATCCAAATTTATACTAACTTACTATATTTAAATTTATCATCATTCCAAATTTAGACACTTACCCAAAAAGTAGAATTAAAAAAATGTTAAAACATAAGTCACCATTGAGTACGCTCTAGACTATTAATTAATAG